TTCATATGAGACCGAAAAAGTCGCAAGTTTTTTCCAGTCTAAACACCGTAGGTCTTGGGTTACGTGCAATGGCTGATTTCTATCCTCATCCTCACACAAGAACAACAACGTTTAGAAAATGGTTTTTCATTGTTGATTTTGGATTTACATTATGAGAGCAAATGAGATAAGAGATTGTACATATTTGATCTGTGCATCCAACTTCTTATCAATTTTGTTAATAATTAATGGTAAAGAACTCGAAAATCAGCTGGATAAATATAGAAGAAAAGGTTTGTTAGTTTTACTCCTCAACAGTATCAGCTAAAACTGGTCTACTCTTCGCTGTATCTTTAAAATTCTCTACATACAGCGAAGTGATACAGTGATAGATGCAGCTAGCTGCATAGGAAAGAGAGAAAAGTTGAATCAAACTCGATGCAGCTAGATGTGGACGACGAACTGCTAGATGCATCGACAAAAGACGATGGAGATCTTTAAAGAATACATAAATAACTGTGCATCTAGTAATAGTCGATGCAGCTAGCTTCATTTGATAGATGTACTAGTAGATCCAGCTAGATTCATTAAGCTGGCTGCATCGACTATTACTAGATTCACAGTTATTTATGTATTCTTTAAAAATCTCCATCGTCTTTTGTCCATGCATCTAGCAGTTCGTCGTCCACATCTAGCTGTATCGGGCGATGTTCGATTCAACTTTTGTCTTTTTCCTATGAAGCCAGCCGCATACACACTAGTGTATCTATTAAATAGAAAAGTATAACGATATGATGATGCAATAAATACAGCTTCGTTAAATAAATTCACTAGTAGATTATGACCGTAAATTTGTTTCTTAAAGAAATAAGGAAAAGAACTCATAAAGGATCGTGAATCCTTTTCAGTGACCGAATTACTGTAAGGTAATCGTTATCACATAAACAAAAATAAGTTCAAGAACGTTTGTCCAAGTTCAACCCCATACACTTTTTCTGACACCAAGTAGTAATATGGTCAATTTCCTGTTGGATTAAGTTATGAATGTTAGTTGCAGAATCTGACTTTAGGAAAGGAAGTACGACAAAAAGAAAGACAAATAAACTGTACGATGCGAAAGCCGACTCAACTGTTGTTAAATCATTTATAAAAAGCAAAAATAGAAGTGGACTTAACACCGGTCTCTGCGGTACATTCGAAGGAACCATTGACCGAGATGATAATTCGTTTCCTATTTTAACGAACTGATAGCAATTTGAAAAGTAAGATTGAAACCACTCAAAAGCCCTACCACAAAGTCCGAAACCCTGCAATTTGGTAAGAAGTACAGAATGAGAAACACGGTCAAAGGCCTTAGACAAATCAAAATTTAAACCAATGCAGTGTTGTTTGAGGTTCCCCTTTTGGTTAACGCTACTAGAAAAGTCGAAGACGAAGCCCTAAATCCAAATTGAACAGAGTTCAAGAGATCGTTTTCAGTTAAAAATTGAAGTAGTTGTTTGTGGATAATCTTTTCTAGAATCTTACTGGCAACACACAGAAGAGAAATCGGCGTGTAATTGTCAATAAGAGTAGTCTCTTCTTTTTTGTGTACAGGTGTTATCGTTGCAACTTTTCAAAGATCAGGAAAACTTCCTGAAGACGTAGATAACTGGAAAACGCGGAGAAGATACTTCGAGGTAACAGATAGTGTTAGTTGAATGAATTTTAAGGATAATCCGTCGATTCCAATACTATCGATGCGTTTCATAGAACCAACGGCTTCAATAATCTCCAAAAGAGTAACTTTTAATTCAGTGAGTTTAGACTCACGAGGAAAGGACACCAAATGTGAAATCGCTTTGTTTTCAACATCTAGTGGGCAATGGGTAAGCGATCATGCTGAATCCGAATATGATAGCCATTTTGGTCGATACATCTGCAGAGACTGGATTTATAGAAAATTGGTTTTTCGGAAACTTCAAAAAATCTCTAAAACTTTTCTTAATACGTCATGTTTGTAGTCCCCGAAATTAGGATCAAAATGAGACATCCCCCAGCTGTACATGACCTTTCTTTGCAAAGTTATGGCATTTACAAGAAGTGTCCTGAATGTTCATTGTCAGCTCAGAAATATAGAAAAACGAAAAGAACTTTAGGGCTTTTCTTGTAAATACTGTAACTTTGCAAAGAAAGATCGTGTAGAGCTGGGAGATATCTCATTTTTATCAAAATTTCACGGACTACAAACACGACGTATTAACCCTTTGAGTCCCAGTGACGTATAAATACGTCTAGTTGCAATTATTGCATGACCATAATAGCTAGAATAAAGTTGAAAACAGATTTGAACAGATGAAAGAATTTCCGATCTCAGGATATGTATACAAAGGTTCCATCAAAACTCCTCAAAGGAGGGTCTCTAGAAAACCAAAATCTCAAAAAACCAAGTCCCGGAGTTCAGTCTAGAATTCTTTACAAACAAGTTGATCGTGTTTTTTCTCTACGTTCTTGTGCTTGAGCACCGCGATTGTTTCAAATATTGTTTCATATTGAATTTTAAAGTCGTTGCCCTTTACTGATATTAAAAATTAGGGTTTTCAGACTGTTTTCATGTAATAATTAAAAATTAACTATCGAGTAATGAATTTTGCGGTGGATCGTGGTATATCAGGAAAAAAAACTTTAGTCTTGTTTTGTAATTGTAGAAACTCAGAAGAAAGCAACTATATAATCACGGCTACTCGTTCAGGACCTCAACTGGATTCTGAACAGTCAAGGCTCAGTAAAAAATCAAGCAACAACAAAATGTCATCGCGTCATTAACCTGCATAAAGATATTTTTCTTACCACAAATATAGACCGAATATAAGAAATCGGGTTCTATTAGCCTCGAGTCACACACAATTTAAGATCTTCCCTAGCTCTCTACAATGTTTTCATAACTCTTGATTAGAACAATATTCAGGGATGGTGGATATCTGATTTTGACCAGAAATGTCTGCTCTATTTTTCCGCTGTTATCGAAACTCTTTTTGGATCTGCTCTTTTATCGGAAAATAAACTTAAGGAGCCTTAAGTATATGAAGCGTATGAACTTTTGCCAGGCTCGGCGATACAGGCTCATACATATATCAAAAATCTTACAATTAATTTTATACTAAGTTAGGAAAAAATTTGGAAAAAGGTGAATTCCTGTAAAAAAAAGAACCAGATTCTGTTCCAATACTCTTCTAGTCGAATGAATACAAGATTAGACTCAAGAAATGATAAAACGATGACTGAACTTAGAGTACTAGTCCAAGGATGAAATAATAATGAGACGCCACAGTTGATTACATCGACATTGGGCGGCCTGCCTACGCCACAATCTTTTTCTGCCTTTGTTGAAAAAAAGATCAAAATCACAAAATAAAATTACATTGATATTAAAAACGAAACTTAAATACACATAAGAATCTACTAGGGGTAGTGGGACTAGGTCTTTTTTGTGTCCACATAGGTCTCTTATGGCTCTGTACAATAACGATAATCACAATTTGGAGGTGCCCATATACCAAACACATAAAACCCGTTACAATTTATTACAACCACCCAATACTGATAACCATAACTTGGATTGCCTTGGTATGCATAATTAACAAATGCATTGACTGTTTGACCAGCCACGGATGGATATGTTACATTTGTCCAACCAGCAACTTGGGTGCCACAGACATTACCATTAGCATTATTTGGCGGGGATGTAGCCAGTTGTGTACCGCCAGGTGCGATAAAACGTATATAATTCGGAGTTGCAGCAACAGTAGTAAAAAATGTATTATCACATGCTAAACCACCAGCCGATGTTATTAAACGTGTTGGATCAGCAATTGTTGAATAATTATTACAGGGTGATGGTAAGTAAACTGAAGCTGCAATTGGTGTTGCTGAATCAGCTGCAAACAATCGACACACTTTAAAAGCATCAGTTAGGAAGTTTTCTTAAAAAAGCATTTGATGTATGAGCACTTCAAAAAAGAAGAATATTTCTTGTCCGACGTGGGTGCTTTTCATCTGAAAAGAGCAATATATTGAGTGTCTGGATGATGAACGGGTACTTGTTATTAATGTGGCTACTAACAACGTTTTATATTGATTCTGGATAGTGTTGTCTCAAAGCAAGACGGAGATTTAAAACACGTTGCAGTTAGTCACACGATGTTCTTTAACAAATAAGCTTGGCACGGGTCTGTGGTGCACGCATCGATTGTTCTCTCTCAGCTTCAGTTATGGAAATACATGCAAAATATCTTTACTCTTAGCTTACGTGCTGTTGTTGCTGTTGTATCACCGCCACTACTACCATAACTACTTCCTTGTGTAAGTCGTATAACCATAACTAGAGTCGCTATACTTACCCCAGCTATGATAACTAATGCAATAACTGAGCATATTAAACCAACAATCTTTAATGCTCTTGATTTCCGACCACCAGTACGGTGACTACAATAATAAAAAAAAGGTAACGCATAATGCATTTCACAGCAAAAAAGGGCTGAAATTCACCAGCCATTGGCATCTTTTTCTAATAAATACCTTCTCCGACTAGGTAATAACGAACTTACATGAACGAACTGCATGAATATTTTAAGTTATTCCCTTGACTGAAAGTCTAGGGTCATATGAAATAAATGTCGGCGTCGGCGTCCGCATGTGACGGACGTACATACATATAGTCATGTGGAAGTGTGACGGACGTACATACATATAGTCATGTGACAGTGCGACGGACCTACATACGTATAGTGACCAGCGAGTGTGACGGACCTACATACATATAGTGACCAGTGAGTGTGACGGACGTACATACATATAGTGACCAGTGAGTGTGACGGACGTACATACATATAGTGACCAGTGAGTGTGACGGACGTACATACATA